AATGCCTGTAAACTGGCATTAAATTAAAATTTATTTATTTATTTATTTAAATAGGCTTACGCCTTCGAACTCCCTATTTGTACATAAAAAATAGATAAATAAGCTAAAATGTGACGAAATTATAGCATTAGGTGAATGCAGACATTGATTCACATATATCACTGGTCCATTGTTAATAAGTCACATGGTGCGCTTGTTGCTGCAGCATATATCTGTCAAGCCGACATTTAAATGTCTTCCTAAATTGAGACATGACAGTATTCTCCGGCAGGTTATTCCACAGTTACACGACACGGTTGAAGAAAAAATACTTTCTCACATTCAATCTACCCTGGCGCACACGTAACTAGAAGGGATGTCCCGGAGGTTAGTTGTAGTGGCGTTTTGGAAAAAGTCGTCGCACCGGAGGGCGTAGTTTAAGGCACTCACGATACGGACAGTTTGTATCAGGTCACCGCGCAACTTCAAATAACTCAGAGGATGGAGATTAAGATTAGTTAAACGGATCTCATTTGGCAGTGCACCTTCACCTCTTATTAATTTCGTTGTTCGCCTTTTCACCTTTTCGGGCAGATAGGGATCCTGCTGCATCCACGGTCTCCATGCCTGGATTGCATATTCAAGATGAGGCCTTACAAATGTGCCGAAGACTTTGGAGACGCAGTCTTCATCGAAAACTGAAAATGCCCGCTTGATGACACATAACATTGAAGTTGATGCCTAGCCGCCTTACAACATTGTGTAGAAGGCTTTAGGCTGTCTGCGACCCAGACTCCCAGATCTTTCTGCGTTCCTGCTTCTCGAAAAGCGTTGCGTTCAGTTGGCATTGTCGCGTATTAGGGATCGGATTTCCGAGGCGCAGTATGGCACATTTTTTCAAATTGAAGGACAAGAGCCATCTGAAGTCGATAACTACCACTGGTAATTTTTCATTATAAAATGAGTTAACAAGCTTTGAAAAATCGGCGGGAATACAGTGTCGCAACACTTAGAATTGTCTATTCCCCCACCAGCCTGTCTTACGGGCGGACTACTACTACTACTACTACTACTACTACTACTACTACTACTACTACTACTAATACTACTACTACTACTACTACCACTACTACTACTACTACTACTACTACTACTACTACTACTACTACTACTACTACTACCACCACCACTACTACTGCTACTACTACCACAACTACCGCTGTTACTACTAATACTACTACCACTGGCGTGAATACAGTGTCGCAACACTGAAGAAAACTTTTTCCCCCGTCTACCACCACTGATACGGCGAATACTACTAATAATCCTACTATTAGTACTACTACTACTACCACCGCCACCACGGCTGCCAATGCTACTCTACCAACGCTTACAGTATGGGTAACTAACTGCAATAATATTAACATCAGTAACGGAGTGTTGCGACACTGGTATCCAACCGAAAAATCCTTTAGATGGCAAGCCATGCTAAGTATAGCTCGGAAGTTGATTAACCAGACATGAATCATGAATTCCATCGTATACAATCCTTTTAATAAATGCTGCTACGTACGGAATTTAATGTACTCCTGGTATTTCCTAACTTAAGGCT